GACAATCGCCATATCTTAATATCGATTTTGAAAATCCGAAAATCCGAAGATCCTTGCTGAAAGCACAAAAATGTGGATACTCTTTCTTGTATGTTTTACGCTTATACACCTGACGACATTACTTGTATTTCACTTGACATTCCCAATAAGCAATACAAATTAACAGAAAAAGAAACTGTATATTTTGTCCCGTGTCCGTGCGTGCGTGCGTCAGTATGTTTCCTGTTTTCTAAGCCACATGATTGTCGCACATATGTTCCTTGTGTATCAAAAGAGATGAAGAAAATATGCTGATTGGACTGATCAACATACATATTTGGACATTGTTATCATCTTCATCCTGTGTTCAAGGTGCTATACTGCCTCCATATTGTGCAATGTGTATATGTGCCTGTATACAAACTTGCGTCCCAGTCTTACTACTTTACTCTAAGTGTACATGGATTTGTCTCATTTCCTTATCCATGTTCGAAAAACTGGAAACAGAGTCGATAGAGTTACCTCCCTTTGATCAGCTCTAACAAACGCACATTGACATTACTGACGACTGACAATGTATTGTCTACAATTTTTCTTCTATATTAGTGCACAGTGGACGCATTTGAACACCATGTCTACGACAATGGCAGATTGTGCGACGTAATGTATGTGATAAGAGAGGTTAGAAGTGAAATTGGGATAGGTTCTAACGACATCAATTCATAAACAGTGCAATGCTCAGGAGGTCAAATGGGGACCAGTATTTTTAAAGATGTATAGTGGAAAGATTTAATTTCACGTCTGATGATTGGCTGCTGGTTATTTGAAAGAAAGAGTTTTCGGTTTCACTACGTAAGTATATCAGAATATCTTAGTATGGTGTACAAATATCATTCCCATTTAATAATGATAATCATTATATACTAGTAATTCTACCATGGATTGGTAAATTACTCAAATCTGATGGGTCAATCAGAGGCTATTAAATCACACGAAACCCCCTCTGATTGAAACAGCTGGTTTGACGGCCGCATCACCGCGGAGGCTACATGTAATGTTCATGAAAAAGTACTTTTTTCAGTCATTGTCAATCTACATCTACCATTACAGGTTACAAAATGCAAAGTTGCGGCTGCTACAATATACCAAGTGTACATTTAGTGCAGAAAAGACGATAGAAATCGACAAAGAGAATTATTTAAGTTTTGGAGACAACAGAGAACTTAGAATTTGGCGCTTTTCTATGTACGACTGTGACGTCATATGTTTTGCGTCACAATGAACGAAATGACTTCATAATGGTGGCATGCGGTGTAGAGCAAAAGCCTTGCAAAGCTTGCTTAGTTTTCTTTAGGCATGCCCGCCTCATATTAGCCTCCCAAGTTGCCGTCCTTATATGCTTTCAATGCCTGTCATATGTTCGAGTGAAATATGTTAAAGGTGTTAACAAACTGCTTCAGGATATATGTATTTTGTTTACAGGCTGTTGTAGCTGATTCCGTAATTTAGATTGACAACCCATTCAAAACACTGGACTGGATACATTTGCTACACCAAAAAGTACGCGTTCTATTCACTCATGGTAGAATGGAGAAAAACATACTGTTTTTACATTGAAGGGCTAGTTTACCTTAGATTTAACTTCGCAAAATTGAATTTGTAACTGAACGCGCAGTCTACCTCCTAAGTATAACAGCCGCCTCCTTGGTCTTGTGGTAGAGCGTCCACCCGGAGAGCGGAAGGTCCTGGGCTCGAACCCCCGCCGCGTCATACCAAAAGACGTTAAAAGATGGTACTTATTGCTACCCTGTCCGGCGCACGACATTAAGGGCTAAAACAAGGACTGGTTGGCTCGGAGTCAGTATACTTAGTGGGGTATTCATGTTAAACTGCGGCATGGTATCTCACTGAGCTTGCACTATAAATCGGCATCAGTCCGGACTAGTACAAGCAGCAACAAACACACACACATACACACACAAACACACACAAACACACACACACACACACACACACACACACACACACACGCACAGAGTATAACAAATACATTTGCATAACGTTAGTTGTATCTAACACATATCCTCAGCGCGTGCCATTTGAGATCACTTGTTATTTATTTATTTTACTTTATCCAATCCAACATCCTCAGTTGAACCTTGAAAACCTGGTTATGTCCCATTCCCAGATACAATTTTCTCTGCTCTACCATATGGATGTATTACTCATCGAGGTTCATGTATTGAAGGTGATGGTGATCTCTTCAGACAGTGATGCTGTTGGCAGTCCAGACGTAGACCGATATTGCCAAGCCAGACATGTATTTATATGTCTATGAATGACTAAAACTATTAACTATGAATCCACACGGTTTTCATATCGTATGCGACAATTGTGCTACCAAAATCTGTCTATACAAATGGGGTTCACTTTATCTAATGCCTCACTTTGGGGTTTACATCTCTTTGGTTTCTTCTACACTAGTATATGTCACATAGTACCAACACTATATCTTGGTTCAATAATCCACTTGTGCTTATAAAGAAATAAATACATATCGTTGTACTCTGTGTAATATACACGTGGTAGAACTATTAAGAAAGATTGATACATTAATTGAAATAGCATTTACATAACCTTTTCGATAAAGCAGCCCCGGCTTAAGAGCACATATATGAAAGACGTCCGAAGCCATTCAAGCAAACCTGTGTCCTGGTAAATATCTTTTCTTTTGTAAATTGAACATTTCACTTTATTGGACTGGAAACCCGACACCTTCAATCAGACATTGTAGGTTCAAACCGAACCTGTAGTTACTTACCTCAAGTTTCTTCAATCACCAGTTACTAAATATCTGACACTTGTTCTGATGATCACTTCACCTATATGAGGTGGGTACGATATCTTAACCAAATAATGCCGAGTTTATTAGAGATACTGGGACAATGTTATAAACCATTTTTCATACCTTTTCTAACCTGCAATTTCAGTTGATAATGATGAAGTTTTAGCAGATTTTCTTATATAATTATGAAAAGGATTCTGTCGCTTCTATTTTCACATGCTCCCCCAGTCTTCGCGGGAGGCATCGGGAGTAGATGCGAGGTGACTGAACTGCTTCCCATGCACATCCACATCAACCAAACAGTAGAACGTTCCACTAGACAATTAGTTCAAAGGAAGTTCTTCGTTATGTACTCATATCTTAGTAAGGTATCATTTGTATCTATTCTGGCGGAAGTCAATTTTACACTACGTATTGATCACTGCATGATTATCTTATGCACTATTGAAAACTAAACTAAACAAGTTCAAGTGTTTTGGTGCTCACTTTTATGATATCATTTCCTCAATATCACAATTCACCGCTCATATTCCCCCTTCATTTCTTCTTCAAATTTTCAAATGAATGCAGCACGTTAAATTGCATACATCCCGCTACTGACATATGTAATTCATATTATATCTTTCTGTATCAGCACAGCAACATATTTGTTCCTACGTACTGTGATCAACCTGAGTATGACACCACATAGACAACCAACCTTCCCGCAAAGCCCTGACACAATGTGTACATTCCGGTATGAACAGTTCCTCCAGCGACATGAATTTGTAGCCTTGTTCGGATTTTCGGATCAAGGATTTTTATCGTGATCGATCGGTTTAAACAAGGTTCTCCTTTAATGTATCATATACTAGTGTCAGATTCCTGCACATGCCGATTTATACATATCGTATTCCTTGTTAATATTGCTCTGGGCCGAAAATATTATGTGCAAACCCCTCAAGACATTACGTCGGATGATATCTGAATGTGTATACTATTAGTTGGCTATTTTAGTATTTATTCAGTTATTGTCTGTAACATAGACTGAAGACAGAAGCATTTGTAATCGTGACCTCGAAGGAAATGTGATGGGAAGTATTTAATGGTTCTTGTATTTATCAAATTCTGAATACCGTGTATTGGTGATAAGGAAAATGAGAACGACAGGCTCATCTACACCTGAGCTGATGAAGGAGACGAATGAACAAGTGAACTGAATACACCAAGTAGTGAAATGGTAGCTATAAAAGGAATCAGCTCATTTTGGTTGAATCTAGGGGTCAATATCTCTGGATGAATTAAAAGTATTAAACCAGGTTTATGACAAATTATTATCGAAGTAAACACAACCTTTAATAATCCCAATCACCATTGCCACTCTTTAGCCTAAATATAATAATCGTTTGTGGCACACGGAGCCTTATTCAATTACACGACGAGAGACACATGACGTCAGACATTGTTCCCTTGATTGGAATTTTAACTGGATCTTCGTTGTGTTGTGCCAACGCGTCAAAAACTTGGATATAAAACCATCCAAATGTCAATTTACAATCTGACTTCATTGAACATAAGGCAACATAAACAGGTTTATTATTTACTGCACCTGAACATGACAAATGGCCAAGAAAGGACAAATATCGATATGACTTGTTGAATAGCCTACAAGAAGACAGACATGAGATCACTATTTCTCTATTATTTGTAACGACGTTTCAGGACTACTTCTTGTCCCTTCACCTGCATCATCACCGGCCTATTTTACCCATACCCATCAGCCTGATATGAAATCCTAAAGTCCGAACTCCGCGATCTGCGATCTGAAAATCGGTTGTAAGTTGACTGTAGCATATGCCGGTGACTGCCAATCTACGTGAATCAACAATGGGAATCCCCTTATGCTAGTCCGATATATAAAGCCCGTCAGTACAGTCGAAACTATCAGATTGTGTCAGCTGGCTGTGGGATACACATGTGTGAAGTAGAGGCATAATTACAGACAGCATGGGTAATATTGTTTCATGCTGGCCAATATCCCGATATCAGGTGGGTCAAGATGTTATGTATACATATGTATATAGGCATATTTCACATGCTTTCCCTATTCGAACTTTAGCGTGTCAATATGTGTAATGCGTGTGTACATGTTCACGTGAATTTGTCATTGCATTGTCTTGTTTAGTTTATGTAAGATTATCCTTATTGTTTTATTGCTGTGATGGCGTAGCTATCAATCGTGTTTGAAACTGTGTTTATTCGATTCCAGAGGCTGTCCAACACAGAGAACTCGATAAACTGCCAAAATGAACCCAATCTGACAGAGAGAGTTACATGTACGTTAAATTAAATTGTTTGTTATTTGGTTTGCTTGTTTTTTGTTTAACGTCGCACGCAGCAATATTCCAGCTATATGACGGTGGTCTGTAAATAATCGAATCTGGACCAGACAATCCACTGATTGACATCATGAGTATCGATTTACGCAATTGGGATACAATAACATGCATCAACCATGTCAGCGAGCCTGACCACACGATCCCGCTGGTCGCCTCTTATGACAAGCATAGTCATCCTTTAGTTCTTTATTTAAACAATCTGTTTGTCTTATAATTCTATTTTAGGAAGTTTAGTTCTATGTGTACCCCATTAATTTCTTTTTAAATTACTGTATGTATGTATCGTATTTTTCTTTGTTTAGTGAAATAATTTGGATTAATGAAAGCGAACCGAATGTTGTTACATCATCTATCAAACAAAATGTACACAAGTAAATTGGTAGTTTATTGTGAGTTTAATGTTGTAGTGCCAACACACTGGAACCATGCATATGCTGTAAATGGCGAGATGTTGGATACTCCAGTATCTGGAAGAGATCTCAGTCTTGTTGCAAGTCACATCGGGATCGGGTTCGAGTCTGTTGGCATCGAACTTGGACTTACTCTCGTGGTTATCGAACAAGTCACGTTTGCACACCCTTATTCACTATACATGCAGGTTGTGCACATGCTTACAAAGTGGAAGGAGAAGAACGGGAGAACTGCAACCAGCCTGGTCCTTGTCAGAGCACTGTGGAGATGCAATGACAGGTGTACCATTGAGTGGGAGGACATTCTCAACATCCTTCAGGGACCGTCCACTGTGTCTGTGTAATCAAGTCGGAGAGCTGTTTTCACATGACGCTGTCTTGCTTTACGCTGTGAATACATGAGTGGGTATATAAGTAATGCTTCACTGAGTTTCCCCGACCACATACAGAGAAATCATGCCTACATTTATGTTATCTCATATACTAGCGCTGCACTGAACACTCTTCTCATGTACAGTTATCATTGATTGATTGGGTTCCCGCTTTGAAATATCGAGTCGAGATGCTAGGTTCACTGAGGCTTATTTAGATAATTTGGGATCCTGACTGATCGGAATGATTTTCTGTTTCCTCAAGTTGCACACTGAACACTCTTCATTTAAACAGTAATATCTTTTCCGTTTGTAATACATTGTGATTCTATTTGTATGTGTTGAGAATAAATGCTTTTAATAAATAGCTGTGATGCCTTTTGTAATAACTTGTCTTTCTGTCTCTTGTGATATTTGAGGAAGAACTAGCGAGGGATGATTACATGTGTCGTAAACGTCATCCGTAATCCCAAAATCCGGAGACATAAATGCGTCTCACATAATGATTAGACTCCGGGCACGATTGAACAGTATGTGAAGTGTACTGTTCATCTGTTGTCTCTTATTTTGAATAATTTAAGAAGGGTTGGCGTAGAATCTTGCTGATTGATTACGGGCGATAATTAGTTTTGTACTTTCTGTAGTAGCTGTATTCTATTTGTAAGAATATTTCCTGGTTGGAAGTTTGCAAATACTGGTCATGGGCTGTAGTGGTTCTCAGGTATGAAATCACATGGAGATGATCCCAGAAGTTCGCGAAAAGGTATCCTGTCCCACTGGTGGCACCCGTCACAGACAAGGAAATTGTTATCCTAACCAGTCCTCTACACTTTTACCATAAAACATTTAGACAACTATCGAAGGATAATATGTGAACGCTTTTGCATGCTGACTACAAAGGGATAGCGGAAAAGATTGGCGAAATGACGAAACATGTGTAAATACAGTTGTGACTGCACTCATATCTATGCACCATTGCAACAGATTTGTAGTAGCATCCCAGAAAGGATACAATACACTGTGGTCCTTTTATATTTCATTTGTGTGAAAGAGACATTCTGCAGAAAAATCTTCAGGAAATGTATGAAGTTGTTGTCTGTCATTTGTACATTTCCGGATTTTCGGATTTATGGTGTACAGCATGCACTACCTCTCAGTCTAGTTAGTTGTGACATCCAGGGAAGGATATTGCGTGCAAATTACTGTCGTTTTGCCGTGTCTTATATCTGCATGAGTTTCGTGGCATCTATATGTATGAATACATGCTTCAATAAATGCCCATCAACAGACACGCACTGGACGCGTGGTGTTTTTTATTTCCTGCAACAGACATTATTGTGAGATAAATAATTATTACATCGTCACCAAGACTGGCCACTAGTTCATCTCTCTGTGCTCTGTTCTGAAAACTAAGAGTGAGTGAGTAAGTTGGGTTTAACGCCACTTTTAACAGTATTACAGTTATATCGTGGCGTGTCAGCCCCATGTGTGAGGAAAGCCCGAAGTTTGAAAACTAAGAAAACAATGTTGACTAAGTACATATATATATGTTTCAAGGGTGTTTTAATTTCATTCAATGGTCATTTCAGGCAATTGATACACCATAACTTCAATTGACTGATGATACTGCTCAACATCAACATATCGTATGTTATCCCACACGATTTTAGGGTTTTCGAGTAAACTAAAACCTCATCACACACACGTCTCTCGTCTCAATACTATAGTCACTTGTGGTTAAAACGTACCTCCTTTTTCTACAACCTGAGCTTCATCTTCATCTTCACGGGTATCAAACACGCTTTTAGGGCATCTGAAGTAGACAGCTTACTCCATGAGGTGTTGACATTGAGAAGATTTGATAAGCAGCCTATAACCACTGAGTATGAATGAAAATATATTTATTTAAAGATGACGTAATTGAAGAATTCCATGAGGTCAAGTACGTGTGTTTCCAAATGTCATTCCTTTACAATGCCACACACCAACTGATGATAAGCTGGTATTGAGAAAGGAACAAATGTCATATATAGTAACAGGATATATATATCGTTTCTTCACCTCGTGTGTGATATGATATGCGACGTTGACTGTAACCTACATGTAACAAATGTAGTAGAATTATAATTCTGTGTAGCTGACGATGGGTGGGTGCTTAGGTTTGGTCTGTGCAACGAAATTTATCTTTCCTGAGCGACTGAATAATAACATCAGCGAATCGAAGATTACATTTTCTGCATGCTACGATTCACACTAATTATATAAGATAACGTCAGCATGCATGATTTACTGTCATCTGGGCTTCAGAGCTACACATTTTATCTGCCCTAGCTTAACATACATGTTCAGTTGTTTCACAGATAGTCTACATATCAACAGCAATAGAAACGCTGTAGTGCAGCTCTAGCTGGAGACCACATTATTACAATTATCATCCCAGAGAGACATTAAAGTTGAGCAACTGCTAATTATCCATCCGTCCTTCGAAACAACTAGTCACTCATATGTACACGGGGAAGAGAGAATGAGTGAAGGTGTAATGTTTACGCAGCTTTTAGCAATATTTTAGCAATATCACGGCGGTGGGCACCAGAAATGGGCTTCACACATTGAACCCATGTGAGGATTAGAACCCGGGTCTTAGGCGTGACGAGCGAACATTATAACCACTGGACTACCCTACCGCTCCTCACGCGGAAGAATGTGCAAGTGATAACTAATTGGGTTCTTCTGTCATTCGCAATCTGAAATTCCGGAAACTGAAATGGATGTAACGAACGAACTGTTAATAGAAATGTTGTTGATCATCACATTACCTGCGTTTGAAAGATGTTTTACAAGGCGTAGAAAGTCAACGATTAGAATGTATGTGAAATTATTGTCAACAAAATTCATGATACGTGGACCTTGCAGTGGACATTTGGAAGAGGTATGATAGTGTGTCCGTCTGTCCGTGTGGACGACTTGACTACAGCTGAAGAAGATCCAATCATGATTATAGTCCAATCATGGACATTTTCGTATTGCTGACACGTCTAACATCAAGTTCGGATCCATTCTATGGTTTTGTTCTTTCAGTTTTTAGGCTGCTGATTGCAGTTTACAAAGCCTAAAATATATAGAAAATAGCTGTAGACAGCAATATGTTCCTTAAACACGCTACCTATTTATGCTAGCCGGTATTCCATATCAATGCCAAAATAACGCCCACATATATCCTACACTTTGACCAGGTCACCCAGTACCCACAATGTACCACAGCTTTTGTACACAACATGTTATTTAGTTTTGTCTTGCATTATCACAGATATTGTCATGATTTCTAGATACTTATTTAGATTGGGACCTATTATCCTTTTTAAAAGACTATTTTTGTGACAATATTCCCATGTCTATTGTCTTCGTTGCAAGACTAACATATAAGTCATGACACCTTGAAAGGGCTGGCTTGGTTATTGACTGAACAGCTGGACGTAGTGGAGAAAGGCATATCAGTGAAGCTGTCACTGCTCTCTTATCTACATGTGTAAGCGGCATACTTACCCGCATCTTGCTTTTGTGACCACACGTCAATTATCAACACTGCTGTAATGTTATTTCTTTATTATTGTTGGTCATAGTATTTGACAACAAACTTAAAATGCACGATAAGAGGTATAACCCCCATATAGGTCTATTATAATCTCTTTCACATACACACCATTTTGCCAAACTCCGCCTTTATATCAGTTTTGAAATCCGAAAATCCGAAATTCCTGAATCTTTGGTTGAAGCTATTGCGAGAGAGAGAGTGAGACGTTGTGTCCCCTCTCGTGCCGGGGCTTCCCGCAATGCTCACATATAGCTTAGAGTTTTTGATTTAGTCATACCAGTTGAACACACAGAGTGGTGTATATGTATAGGCAGCATGGGGAATATTTCCTCGTGCTTCTCCGGACTTCAGTGGCAGGTACGTCTTAATAACGCCCTTTTAGATATGTTCATTAAGGTGCAATAATGGTAGTAATATATGTACACATCATTTAACACTACACGTGTGGCATTCTGTATATATGCTTAATAGTGGATATAAGGTAACGAACATACGGTTCAAAGTCTTTATATACTCACTCCTGTTCCGGCAGACATTGTCTTTGTTTATCATTCCATATTCAGTATTATTGTGTGGAAGTTTATCATCCCATATTAAGTGTTATAGTGGGGAAGTTTGATCCCACCTGTAGAATAATACTGTATTTGAGTTCAACGCCTTTCAGGAAATACTACAGCATATCATCTCAACATACAACTGATAGTGTGTGTTTTTCGTTCTAGAGAATGCACCAGTCAAGCAAAGGGCTGATCGAGTATTACATCCAACAGATCATAAGCAGAGGTGCGTTTACTATAACTGCCCATTAAATTGATAATTTTGTGCGACATTCTTTATCATAATTTGAAGATTTCATTTCAGAAATTTGGTAATATATGCCTTGTGTTCAGCATAAACTTTCAACATATTTTAATCGTTATTATGATGACATATATGTATATGGGAGGATATGTGCAACTTCTTTTTCTGTCAATTTGTATTGCTTATTTCGAATATCGATGAGCATTGGAGATAAATAAAGGTTAATTCGATACCACATGTCAATCACACAAAACAGAAAGAAACCTGTTGATGTGAGCCTTTGTAGTAGAATTGGTGTTTCATCAAGTAATACAGATTTCTGTGTAGGTTCAACACGCCGTGTGAACGAGAGACTGAAGACTCATGTAACTCCACGACATCTCGGACTTGTTGCGAGACATATCGGGATGGGATTTGAGCACGTCGGGATTGAACTTGGGCTCAGCGTTGTGGCTATCCAACAGGGCAGAGTTGCACACCCATGTTCAATGTATATGCAGATCTTGATTATGCTCACTAAATGGAAGCATTTGAATGGCAGTTCGGCCACCTATCTGGACCTGGTCAAAGCACTATGGACATGTAAAGAGAGATGCACGATCGAATGGGAGGACATTCTCAACATCCTGCAGTGACGGCCCTCCTTGTCAGTGTAATTGCACCTAAGGCGGAGAAATATTACAAGAAATGAAACTTTGTTTTTATCATTTCGAACATGACTATCGTCATACCTTTTTACCTTCTTCAGAGATATTGTAATCTCACCTCTACTTTACAGCGATCAGTAAACGGTGGGCATATCGTCATACATTTTTACCTTGTTCAGAGATATTGTAATCTCACCTCTACTTTACAGCGATCAGTAAATATATTTATCAAATCACTGTTTCTTTGTGTTTTCTGCATTTGCAAGTTTACCCCAAGAACACGTGGAGTCAGATTGTACCAATGGCGGCTGCTACCTGTTGGGCAGGAC